ACTTTTATTGGCTTACACATTGTTAATCGAAAAAAGCTGATATCAATAGAATTATATCATGTAAGATGTAAGCAAACATTTTTCAAAAACATCAATACTTTTTATAAAATGAGTAGTTGATGACAAAAGAAGCACTATGTATGAATATATTATGAAAAAAAAAATTTTGCAGAGTTAGTTGCAATAGGGTTTGAAAAATATAATACTATACCAAYATGTACCCATATATGTGGAGAATATATTATTATAAACAAATATCGGGTGGTATTGTTAATAATTTAAAGTGGTATACATTATTGATTGCAATCCATTGAATAAATGCTAATTTAATATGTTGATAATCATTATTTATAATATTATGTTATAATATGGGTTACGACGAGCGTAATGCATCAAATCAAATATTGAACAGTGTTTCAATATTAATCAGTGTGACGTTTGAATAAACTCAGTTAGCATTTTCGGGGAGGAGGATAATGATTTCGTTTCGCAATATAAAATATAAATCACGATGCATATCATTAAATTTACACCGGAAACTCGTATGCTTTTCTCGAGTGTTATTATACCTAGTATTATAGTTACCTATATTAATTTATAGTAATTTGTACTAACCTGTTTCTTTTGCGCATGCTCTCGGCGTGAGGACTTTTGATGTACTGTTCGACGATTTGTTTCCATCGCCTCCTGCACAGCCATCCCCTAAAGAAACTCTGCACTTTCTTGATCTTTCGCATCTCGATCGAGTCCTGGACATTGAAGGTGGCCGGGTCCGAGAATATGAAGCTGTCCTTGGATTGTCTTCGCGAGTACGTGCCCGTCGTCCCAGCGTCGAACGACCCGGTGGTGGATCCGCTGTACGATGTCAACGGTCGCAGCTCCTTCTTTAATGTTAACACCTATTATAAAAACGGCACCCAAAAAGGTACGTTGTCCAGTGATATTTTAATATCTGGCTGCTGATTCGTATACATATGATGGTATTCGGGAYGTGGCGCATGTGAGGAAATCACATCGCGAGATGTTGATTAAATACAACTAAATAGATATTGTATAATATTGATACGGTCGATGTTCTCGAACAGGCCAACTAAGCAAAGACGAAAGCAGAACTTTTTTTTGTATAAGCAATATGGTAAGTATATCTAGTATACCTACCTAAATTTTTATTATTCGAAATGTTTTACGTTTAACGACAAATGATATACCTACYTACGACGGTTGTAATGTGTGATGGGGCCTTATATCTAATCAAATAAACGAATTGGGTTTTATATAGCACTTTAGAAATGTTTACAGATGGATATTTTCGAGTGTTTTTGAACATATTCGCCATCGTTGACGTGTAGAACATACCTAATAAAATAAATGTTTTAAACCTAATCGAACGATTTTTTTCGTTCTTTCTCGTCAGCAGATATATTGCCTATAGGTAGGCACAACAAAAAACTGATTCAAAGTGTTTGTGTGATTGATATTCAATATTTCTTATGCAGAATCTGCATGCTTAATCTTAATTATTTATGAACACATCATTATTATAATTTATAATTTACTGACGTTCGAATAATACAAACAGGGAAGTATAATAACACGTTATGTGCCCTGCGTTACATAATTTTAGTTTAAGAAAAGTTTTTCCTAAGATTGGAAACTTCATCATAAATTCGATTAGAAAAATTATAGAAAATCAATATAATACTGTGACATGTTTTTAAACACAAAAATTGATTATAATAATTTAAATATTTTATAACTACCACTTGGTACTCACAAAACGGAGACGCAATTGTTGCGATGGGCACATAACTATAATAATATATAAGCTACAGGGATATAATAATTCGTTTACAATATTATGGTTTACTTCTGCTCGTAGTTTTTTGATTTCTGATTCCGACTCATCGACCTGTTGGGCATATTGCCATTTCGCAGTCATCTCGCTCTCGACGACCTGTAGCAAATGCAAGTGCCGTTGTTCAAGCTCTTCTTTTTGTAACAGCAATTTATTGAAACTGGAACGACGAGAACCGACGTTATTAAAACCGATATTATGCAATATTTTTCGGGCTGTATGCCATGATATTAGTACAATGGCGTCATTTCAGTGTTTGATAGGGGGTGGACAAGTTTTGAACTGCCCAAATAATTGGAAAAAAATACCACTTGCTTTGTTTAAAACTTAATAACCAGTTAAATTTTGATACTAATATATAATTGCTTTCTTACATAATATTATAAGTAATTATAAAATGTTAATGTATATTAAATGTATGAGTTTTTATGTACAGTATTTTGAGAATAAGTCGTTGAAGATGGTGAAGTCTAGTTAAAAATATTTAAATACCTACCAATTATATTATWTGTACCTATAAGTACCGAAATCTTAGTTATTTTTTAAAGGATAAATAAATAAATATCAGAGCTCAATATGGTTGGTGATTGCTATATTGTAATTTAATATTATGCACAAATATTAAATTATAACAGAAGTTCTATAGAAATTACGGATACAATTAAGCGTGATTGTTTTGTTTTTAAAATTTTTACTGTATTAATATTAGCATAAGAATGAAAAAAAAGTAGTTTTAGAAACAAAATTATGTGTATAATATAATATAATTGATCCGATTGTTATATTTTTGTTGCTATATATCCCTTCACAGATATTTGTAAATATGTTTCATTGTACATATATATCGTTATATAATATTATTATGTAATTCGAGTATAAAACGGTTCACGTTTGGATGAGTTTTTGAAATTTATAATGCGGTTGCGGATGAACATTTTTAATAATATACCGTTTATTTGAAATGGTATACAAAGCATATTGTTCTCTCATATCAACAGAAATGTGGAGACCGTCCGTCAATATCACAAATATGATTAATATATACATATATTTATAATTTTAATTATTTGTAAAAATTGCACATCTGCAGCAGTTCATCACGACTTAAAAAAAAAAAAAAAAGGATGCCATCTTACCGTATCCCTCCCCCACCCACTTCGACCACTGGTTCTAATAGTAAAAACTATAAATTGTATTTTTCGGTGTATATCATTACGATCTATCCGATCTATACGAGTATTATAGATAATAGTTTTTTTTTTTAATAAACTTGATGTAATCTTTTGGAACTATTGTCATTGGTAAGTTATTCCATAATTGAGCCGCAAATTTATGAAGCTATTTCGACTGACCCACATTGTTAAGATAGGTATGAATGCTTATAAAATTAAAACACATTTTTAATTTTATAACAAATAAAGGARCATTTATTTTTACACTACATAGAGCATTATCGTTCAGGTAGGTAAACATTAAGAAATRGGATTTTACTTTTAAGAAATGCTTTTTATATCATATGAATTAATTTTACTCTGGTATCAAGAGCCACACGAGACTCACTTGTGAGCCTCATGCGATTCGCAAGCCTCATTAGTCATTGTGACCATCCTTGTTATATATATATATATATGTATATACAGGATGCAGCACCAATTTGTATAGGTATCATATTATACTGAAAAACTCAATAGTTATGCATGTCCAGCACTATTAATGAGGTAGTTTCGAACCCATTACGAATAATACWTACCCAAACTCATCTTACACAGCTCATACATGAACGAATTGCAATTATTATTATGTGGAATACAATCTGCGTCTTTCCGTTTGACAGATAAGAATATACACTTAGTTTAAAAAGCTAACACTAAAAATACATAATATCATATGATAATATTATGTTCTTATTCATACAAAAAATTCACACACAAACCTGCACTTACATACACACATCTTTCWTATAATATGCAAATCCACGCATGATCTATACATTCTAACTATTAAATATTTACTATCACATCATGGCAATCATTATCACAATGTATGTACACAAAATTTCTGTTTATAGTTCCTCAAAATTATCAAAACAGRCATGCCTTATCTGCAACATCCCACGACCAGTCTTCTTTTAAAATCTGACATGGGAAAATGTTTACAACCTACGCTTCCCTATATCCAAATGACGCCACTGCAGTGCTGTGCAACTATAAGCGAACTCATCAGTTGTATATAGTACCTGGCTTGTTTCAAAGCGTTCACCCAAGTCTTGCAAGCCGTATCTGACGACGCGCGGAACTCGTACTGACGCATTTGAGGATGGTTGTATGAAATGACGAAACAGTGCTGGAAATATCACAAATAGCGAGTAAGCAGTGGTCGTTTAAATTTGAAAAAAAATCGCATGTTATTAACCTCATTTTCTGGATGAATTTTCCCAGTGACTTTTGACGTACCGCTTGAAAAATCTAATTTCGAGCAGTAACTGCCTTCCAGCAGTATTACTCCGGACGGTTTATTGCAGCTTTCGTACTCGTAATAGAACAGTATATTCTGAAATTAAAAATCAAAAAAAAAAAAGCAATAAATAAAATGTAAAGGTACATTGTATATGATAAACCGATAACTGATAACTGTAAGTATCAATTATTAGAGATGTGTCGTATATTATTTCCATAATACTGAATTTTCAGATAAAATCAATTATACAGCGATGACCTCGTCAACAGTCTTATTAATTAATTAAAAATCTAATTATTATCACGTAAAGGTATCTATAATGGATATATTTTATATCGAATCAAAACGAAATGAAAATAGTTTCATCGAATCGAATTTGAAAAATAAGTGTGGTTGACGGTTGTATTATTATTACTTCTTCATCAGTGTATTAATTAATTGGTCCACAATTCAGTCACATTTCTATTAGATTTTAAGGTTTCCATCGGCGTTTAATAATATTGTTCCTAATAAGCTCACTAGATTAATTCTCAGTGAATCAACATTTCCTTGTTGATGACTGGTCTATATTAAAAAAAGAAAAATACTTTTCTTCATACTAAATTTACCTTCTGTTAGTTTTAGTCCCTCTCGTTTGTTTTTAGTATGAAGTRTAAACGGTCAAGTTTATTAATAWATTGGTAATTACTAAATATATTAATATAAAAGGAATCTCCACAAGATGAGAGTGCGGTAATGAAAAAATGATGGAACACCTACTGCTAAAAGTTCAAATAATCCTGTTCGAAGGAAGACCTACTAGCAAAAAATGTCAAATGCAATCAAAGTAACAAGATTCTGTCAAAGGTAATCTAATCCAAACACCCATAATAATCAACACATCAAATAACTTTGAACAACAAGATACCTTAATTTTTTAAATTTTAATCTTTTATTTGTGTATCTATTTTATTTATATCCATGTAAAACTATAGAACTGTATTTATTTATTTATATATTGTAAAGAATTTTTAATTCCGTTTTCTTTATAACAAAATTTTTTATTCATTCACATTAGTATTTATAATA